GTTTCCAAAGAACTTGTGTGGAGTCATGGGAAAGCGAGAGCATCTCTTGGTAGCTCAGGTCCCTGGTGGGAGGCAGGCAGGCAAGCAGAACTGTGTTTTCTGCACTGAGCTAGCTGATCCCACACTGCTTACTTGGCTTGAGCGAGGAGCCCGAAGCCTTTCTTGCAGCCAGGTGAAGAATTCTGACCAAGAAGCCCCGCCCAAACTTGTCTCTCTGCTTCTAGGTAGCGTTGCTTAGAATCCTGGCAGGAAATTCAGAAACACTGAGGGGTTCTCTCCTCTGCCAATACATGGGCTACACACCATAGGGTGTTGCCTTCAAGTGGTTGTGTAATTGAAAGTAACTAAAAAACAAGCTGTACCATGGACCCGTCTACCTGACACAGGAGCAGGGCCTGAGAAAACCCACGACTTACTTCTTACCCGAGACCGAAAACATACTTCAGAAACAGAGCTGCGAGGTTTCTATCCTGTTGCCTGGCCCAAGCCACCACTGTCTCCTGTCCGGATACAGCCAATAACTGCTTTATTGGTCTTCTCTTTCCACACGAGTCCCTGCTTTTTTTAATGTCTGGTTTCACATCAGTAACTACTGATGCTCTCCACCCTTCAGAGGGTGCAATAAATGGCTTCCCACTGCATTTGGAGTAAAAGCTGAAGCCAGTAACAATCCATAGGGCTCTAAGATGTGGAAGAAGGCTCTCCTCTTCGCTTATCTCTGATAGATGTCCCCAGAACCCCCATACAGACAGACATGCCTGCCTCCTGTGTACCCCTCACCTTCCCCATGTCCTGCATCTTTCTGGTTGGGGTTGCTCTGGTGTATTCAAATGCTGATTTCAGTGCTTTGAGATCTGTACCACCCTATCATGGGTACTGTTATTATGTTGAACTATCTCCTGTAACCACGTGATGAGAAGAAATGTTCCCCAATTATCCTTGACAGGCTGATTAAAAGGCCTATACCTGGCCAAGGGAGAAGGAGGTAGGCATGGCTAAGGTTCAAGGGCTTTGGGGACAGAAGCATGAAGGACTATGGGAGGCAGAAGGGGACAGGTACCACAAAAGGAAGGAAGCAGAGAGCTGGGACGGGGTTAGTGTGAAAAGAATCACATCCTGCATGGATGGAGGAAGGGACCCAGATGAAAGAGTAAGCAAATATTCATGGGATTATAAATGGGATGTAGCCCAGACAGAAATTGTTAGAGCAGATGATGTGGGATGGGGGCCTGGAAGATAAAGGTAGCTTAGTAGGTAATATCTATCATGCCCCAGGTGAAATAAGGCTATCCTAAAGTCTATCAGGTGTCTGTATCTTTTATTGTGACAGCAGGTTAGATAATACCACCACAATAACTACAGGGTCAATAAGAAACATTATTAGACTATACCTTTAAATTATCTACAACAGCTCTCTGTCTGGGAGGTTCTTCTCAGATGTCTGAAGGCCCCTCCCACAGTTCCACTGCTGGATTCTCCCCTCATTGTATGGGCCTTCCCTGGCCTTTTCTTTAGAGCAGTCTTCCTGGTGCACTAGGACACCTGCTCATTTTTCTCAAAAGTTTACTCCCATTAACATGTCCTCTCCACGCTGTGGAAACTTTATATCGTATTTATATAGCAAATGCTTCCTTCTCTCGGTAGAAGTAAAGAAAGATTAGCCTCAAGGGAAAAGCAAAGACTGCTAAAGTAGTCAGCCAGTCTGTGATGGGGCAGAAAAGAAGAGGTTTCTTTGGGCATGCTCTGGCTCAAGGCTGCTGGTCTGGAGAAGCCATGGGTAGGGTGGCTGAACGCAGAAGACTTCTGCCATTGGTGTGTCTTGCTTTCCTCTTATTGGTCCCGAGTTAGAACCGAGGCCTGTCTATTTGGGGCCCACTGTTACACTTAGCAGCCTAGACTGTTGTAGCAACAGTGATTTTTTTCCCCCACTGATATTCACCAGGCACTTCCTGGGCTGAGAACTGTGGGTAAGCAAGGTACTTTACTGTGACAGTTGCCGGCCAGATCTATTTTCATACATGGCCCAGCCGTTACTACATGGTCAGCGTCTCACCCCTAACTAGAATATAAACACAAAGGACACTGTTTCGTTCACTGCTATAGTGAACGCTGTAGTGCCTCCTACTTTGTAGACCCTTGGTAGCAGTTAGCCGACTCTGGCTCTGTTTATTAATATCTTGATAGAAAAGCTGTGGCTACCACATAAGGGTAGAAGGTGAACCTCAACTTGACCTGACACAGCCCAAACCTACAAGCATTTGCTGAGCGCTTGCTACATACTGTGGAGGCCACTCCAGATTGCACAACCCAAGTACAGCCTGAAAATGTTCTGAAGGGCCGTCTCGGTGCTTTGATATATGCTCAAAACATCTCCCCAACTTTGATTTCTTCTCATCAATAGCCCTTCAGTCTCAAGCTCTTACTTTCACATGCTGCTCTGGCCCATGTCTACTTACTCCAGCCCTCATTTATTTCTCAAAAAGTGGTTAAAAAGAGAGAGAGAGAGAAAGAGAGAGAGAGAGAGAGAGCAGAAGGGGCTGTTTGGAGGGAGGGAGGAGTAGGGCTGGGGATGGACAAGGGATGCTTTGGGATGGGACACAGGTGCTAGCCACTGCACCAAGCTCTCTGGTCTCCTCTAAGTTGAGCTGCTCATCTTCTGAGTTGGGTTATTACCGTAGAACAAGTGCCACAGCTTGTCCCCAATATAGGTGACACACAGGAAGAAGGTCTGGGTGATCTGGGTCTCCCTTCCCTTTCCTTCTGGCTTTTTCTTGGGGTCCAGATTAAAAAGCCCACTGGCCACAGGATTTGTTCACCTCATACACAGAAGAGCCACGTGGGGATATAGTTACATTGTGGTGGCCTGAGGCTGGTCCTCCACTTGGGTGTCTCCAGCACTTTTTGACAAAGGCTCCTCAGCAAGCACAGACACACACACACACACACACACACACACACACACACACACCTCTTCTGGGTTACCTATTCCTCCATAGAGGAGATTCCATGCTTGGGTCACTTCATCTCTCAGGCACTCAAGGAAATAAATTTTTAAAAATGGAAATGGATGGCTCATCAGCAGCCTACCGTCTGTCATGGCAGACGAAGCACAGCTCCATGGGTTCTCAGCCATGGGTCTCAAACTCACAGGCTAAATGTGCAAAGGAAGTGGGGAGCGCTGGGCTCGCTCCTCTGAAGCCTCCAGCTTCCCTGGCCCCATTCCTTGGACTCCTCTGGGGCTCATCTGGAGACAATAAGCTCTCTTTCACACAGAGCCAGGCCCTCTCAAAGCACACGCTCCTGCCATCACAGAGAAGGAAGGAGAGCTCCCACACCCAACATCCTTAATGTTCTCCTGTTGGAGGACCCTGCTGTTTGGGGTTGCAGTCCTCCTCGTCCAGATAGCCTTTCTGAGCTCAGCACTGGATGGAGGACTCCCTGTCCCCAGCAGGTTTCCTCCTCTCTGCCCGACCTCATCTGGAAAGTGTCTTTAGCCGTAGACACCTCTAACCACGGCTAGAATATGACCTTTGACACAGGTGTTCCCATTCATAATAGGACCCTGCTGCCAAATGCAAATAAAGCATCCCTGATACTCTTAGCCCCAACCAATGGCGTGGGCCCACCCTAGGAACCTTCTACCCGCTCCCCAAGAACTATATAGCCTTTTTTTCACCCTGAATACAGTTGAATTAAGTTGAGTTATCTCAATGACGTGGCTCTCAGAGGTCATTCTCATGAGCCATTTGAATGCCCAGTTCGTCGCTTTTGCTTCCTTGTCCTGACTGGTGGCCAATGACCCCAGGAACGAGGGAGAGCCACAGTCTTGTAAGCTGCTGTGAAGCCCCCATGGCCTGCGTGCCTTCACAGAACTTCGTTTTAAGTGCATGAATGCTGAGGACTTCTAAAGAAGGCATTACAGTCGGGGCTCCACAGACTGAAAAAAATCCGAAAAGGGTTATCAGCTGCTTCACCCACTTTAGCCCCACAAGGGAACAGCTCAGCCTCCTTTTGCAAGATTTATACCCATTCAAGGGAGTTCCTTGGCAGCCTGGTGTTATTAATAAACCATGTCTCGAGCTAGGTCTGCCTTTCCTGAGAGGCTGTACTGGCTGAAGCGTGCAGAAAACCTGGGCCCTGTGCTTGCTGGCTAAGGGCTTCGTTTTCTGTGAGGATAATGCTGTGGGGTCTCCCCAGTGGGAACCGGGGTGGTGCATGGCTGGAGCCTCACTGACTGTTTCTGGTAGTTATTGTGCTAAGGCCTCAGCAGCTGGGGAACAAGACAGAGAGGGCAACAGAGACCCGATCCGCTGTTCTAGGCCTCTGCTGTGAAGTTTAGTCCCACTATGACACTGTTAGCTCAGTGCTTAGGCCAATGGGGAGTCTGAGGTCTCCCTCTGGGTAGATTCCCAGTGCACATATACTTACACTTGGTAGCAGGAAGGGGAGAGAAGCAGGCAGGAGTTGTATTATTTCAGACTGACATTATCTCGGCTTTGAGAAAATGTTATTTCATTTCATGGGTCATCTTCTTCGGAATGGCTAAAGTGAAAAGGACTGCCAATCCCAAGAGTCACTAAGGATGCAGAACTGGACCTCTCAGTCTTTGATGCTGGAATGTACACTGGAGCCAGCACCTTAGAGCACTGTGGCAGTGTCCAGCCATGGCTCTGCCCCTCCAACCGGGGCAAAGTTACACAAGGGCATTAAAGGCAGAGCTGGATTACTGCTGAGAGTTCAGCATGACAGTCTCCTGTTCTAATGAGGTTTTCAAAGGCAAAACTAATCTCTAACGATAAAGAAAGTAGTGGCTGTCTCCAGGAGAGGCCTACATACAAACAGGGTGAACACCTCAGATCTTCATGCTTCCAAACACGAGACGCATCCAAACGAAATAAAATAAAATAACATCGTATTTCTTCTTCCCAAATGAATGGCTCACTGTGTACCATCTATGTCTTTCAAAAACAACTCACGGTCACTCACAAAGATGTACAGTGTTGAGCTGTATTTATAAGTGAACACGAGCACAGGTGTCCTAGAGGGAGTGAGGTGTGATGCCTAGCTGAGCCGCCGCTGCAAAGAACACAAGGGGGCAACTTGGCATCAAATGCTAGCACTCCCACACGTTGGGCACAGGTAGTTGTGAACCTAAGGAGAAAAAAATTACTGTGTCATTGCAGTGAAAGGCCATTCTGTGATCAAACCCCATCTCAGAAATACTTTTAAATGTTCTGGCAGGTCCTGCCTTGGGAGCCTGGTTGGCTTAATCCCTTCAGCCCACATTGGTGCACTTGGACCAAACACTGCTCTTGTCCGTGTGGAATTTGAGGGGGTAACTCCCCACCTCCATCACACACAGGCTTATAACCCCCCTCCGCTCCTCATGAGGGGGCTGACAAATACACACCTGTTATTTTCCTGTGTGTTTCGGGCCTGACCCTTCTCCAGCTGTGCCTCCGTGCTGGGGATCAGCCTCCGGTGAATTGGGCAGCTGGGTTATTGGGCCTTTCCACTTTCTGGCTCCAGTTTTTGAATTGAATTCATATATTTCCCCAGTCACTAGGGGGCAGAAAATTAAGCAATGAAAAAAAAAAAAACATTTCAACAATTTTGTTGGCACCCATTTCTTCGCTGTTCTGTTTTGATAATTGGGGAAGGGTGAGGGAGGCTACAAGAGATGACCCCCTGAGATGGAAAGAAGTTTTTGAGGAGCCCAGACAGCCTTCCCAGGCCTGCCTTTTCTGTGCAGCTCAGACATATGGTGCCTCTCTGGATAGGATTTGCAGGCTCTGTCACCATCTCAATTGCAAGATGAGGGGGCCATGTAAATTTCGAGTTCCCTGTGGCCATCAAATAGATTGGGCTCAATTTCTATTGGGGTTACCCATTAGGATCTGATTTGTTTTAAAAGATCCTTGTATCTGCCATAAAAAGGAATCTAATATGTAAGGGCGGGAGCCTCTGATTCCTCTTTACATCTGGCTGGCAGAGAGTGCAGGCACAGACAAACTGATCTGGGGCTGAGGAGGGACGGCCATTTTTATTGTGTCAGAGCCAGCAGACACTAATTGATGTGTTTGTTCACATTAGGCCGGTTGGCTCATTTCTTCCCCTTTTCTTCTTGCTAGCTCTTCAGAACTGCAAAAGTCCTCCCTGGCTTTTTCTTTGTAAGCCTGGGTTTGAGGCAAGCCTGGCTCCTGCTACTGCAATACAACACAAGTGGCCTCTCTCGGCTCAGGCTCCCACCAGCACTTATGCTAATGTGGGCACATTATGGTAACAAGTACCTAATAATAGAGGGAAATTTAATTCCAACAGCAGCAGCTTCTCACTGGAGAGCAGCCATCCTCCTTCTGAGGACGGCAGCCGTTTGCATATGAGGGTGGCAGGGAGCCAGCACACTTGCCTTCTGAATTTGGTTTCCTTCCCTTTATTCACGTCTATAATTGAGCCTTTGTAAGCAGAGGGATGTGTGTAAAGGAGCTGAATCTGGAGCTGATTTCAGAGGGCAGTGGGAGCTCTGGAGGCCAGCTTCACCTTATGGTCATCATGTCAGCCAACTTCCTGGCCCTGATCTGGGGTGGGGGGAGCCAAACTTAACACTTCTGCTACTAATAAAATGGCACCAGAAGCATGCAGGGAGGAGGACCGGGCAGGTTGGGGAGGATCAGTGAGCAGGGATATGTAAATATATATATATTGATTCTTGAATTTACTGGTTTTCTAAAGTGTTTTGTAAACAAACAGTGAGGAAGAAATCACATTCCGCAGAACAATCTTGCAGGTGCAAAGTGCCTGAGCCCTCACCTGGGGGTCGAGCCATGTTATAGCTGAAAAAGGGTCAGCCTCTCACTACAGATAAGTGGCCAAGGTGCTGACCAGTGGTCAAAAGAAGGATACTGGACACTCTTCCTGACTCTTCTAGCCCAGAACACACAGACCATCCCCATAGGCGACAGTGCCATTTGGTTACCTGGGTCTATGGCTTCTCCATCAAAGACAGTGTTCACCTGGATGGATTCCTAAGGCAAAGAGAATGCTTCAGTCACAATTCCACGTTTCTCCCCAGGCAAGGCCACCCATCCCCACAGCCCAGGCTCCTCATTCAAGGTTTATTTTATTTTTTATTCATTTATTACTATTATCTTTTTAAGACAAGACGTGAACTTGGTATGTAGCCAAGTCTGCTCTTCCTGATTTCTAACTCCCAATCACTGGAATTACAGCTTTTCCCACCATGCCTGGTTTTCCATGCTCAATGCTTTGAGATACCGATTTACTCAACAGGCACTGGGCCATGAGACACCATCTAACACCAGGCAGGGATGTCTGTCTGCATAGCAGGCCACTGACAAACAAGGGCTACAATGAAGACACATGGCTATGATAGGAGAGCTGTGATGCAAGGGGACACATGTGGCAAGCAATTAATCCAGACTCGTGGGTTAGGAAAGAGTCCTGAAAAAATATCACCTAAGTGATGTAAAAGCAAGAGCCAACATGCCCAGTGCCTTGGACTAAGACTTGGACACATCACTGTCAGGCGGAGTTATGGGAAGCAGGCCCACAGGAGCACTCACCTTGGGCCTTGGCATCCCAGCCTGGCACTCTTACCTTTAGCTACCTACCTTGCTCCACTGCCTGCCCTCACAAAAGCCAACAGTGCTGCAGCTGAGTCTCTCTAAACCCCACCCTCCATGCCCCAGATCTGAGCTCTGCCTAATGTGCCTGTCCCCAACCCGTGGACACACTTTCACTACTTGGTAAACCCCAAAAAGACAAAACCAAGGTCTTCAGCATGTTAGCAAGAAGCTATTTGGAGAGCAGTGGCCTTTTCAATATGGTCTTTTTATTTACTGGTGCCACCTATTCACTTCCACATAGCTCTCGTATGCTGAAGACAAGAAGTGAGAATTGCATGTTTTGCCTACTACATCATCCGAGAAGCCCCACATTTTATGTCACGAGGGGCTATTTATTTAATAGATCAATGTGGCATGGTTTTAAGGCCGTCTATGAGTGGCATTACCCAGGTTCCCTAGGGTGCTCCTTTTAGATTAGTAAGACCTTGGAGGCCAAAAGCTGTTCCTTGGGCCTAAAAGTAGAAGCAGTTAAGGTATTAAGTGCAAAACAAAGGTCTCCCTTTAGCTGCACTGAGCCAATCATGATACATACTCACTGAAGAATGCATCTTAGATCATAACAAAGCTTATCATGGGAAGGCAGAGAAGAGACAAGGGAAGTTGCCAGGTTTTCTTTCTTCCCAAGTTGTAGATTTGGCTCAGTAAAAGAAAGCAAAAGAGTATGACGAGTGGGCTGGCTTGAATGAGAACAGCCCCCAGAGGCTCATATGTTTGATTACTTAGTCCCCAGATGGTAGAACTGTTTGGAAAGGATTAGGAGGTGTGGCCTTGTTGGAGGAGGTGTGTCGCTAGGAGGGGTGGGATTTCAGGTTTCAAAAGCCCATGGCGTTCCCACCCCACACCCCTCCCTCTCTCCTTCACGGCTGTCTCAAGCTCTCAGCTACTGCTCCAGTACCTCGCTTGCTTGCCCGCTGCCATGCCCCCCCCCCCCCCACCACGATGATCATGGACTCAAGTCCTCCGGAACTCTGAGCGCCAAATAAATCATTTAAAAGTTGCCTTCAGTTTTGTCACAGCCAAAGAGCAACAAAGCAGTGTCTCTAGCCCGCCCCTGTGCCTCACAGAGTGAGATGTCTGAGGGTCTTCAAGAGACTTCCCCAGCTCTTGCCTCACAGTGGGTGTCCTCCCTCCCCCTTCACGGTGAGGACCCTGAAGTTTCCAAAGGCTTGGGAGCTTTCAGGGTCACGTGGCCAAGGGGCAGGTAGAGCCAAGCCCAGTCGCAAGCTGTGCACCTTCTCGCAAGGCTGAGTCGAGAAAAATTAAATTCTGTGGAACGTTGCAGTTCCAGTTCCGGTCGTTAAGCTCTGCTTCCCCCACGTACCCTGGTGGGGAGCTGGTGTGGGTAATAAACACCACTACTCAATATTTATGAAACCCAGAGCAAACACTTCAGCAGACACAGTCAGTGAGGGGAGGAATCCTATCAGGATTTTGCCATGCAGCAAGCTGTGTCAGCGGCCAAATGCCTGAGCCTCCCAGAATGCACAAATACTCCTCCAGGGCCTGCCTTCTCTGTGTGTGTGTGTGTGTGTGTGTGTGCACGCACGCGCGTGCGCGACAGGGTGCCACTACCCAGGCCCTGGGCAAGGTTCCTGCGGCTGACCACACTCACCACCACAGCCTCTCTCTTCACATTCTTCATGTCTGCAGGGAAGAGAACAGGCCAGCATTGAAGCTTCTTAAGATGCTAAACGGACCTTAAAGTTCCACCCCCACAGGCTTTGACTTCAATTTTACAGACATGACAAAGGTGTCTGTTCGTTTTTGTTTTTTCTGCAGACCTGTTAGTTGACAGCTTTCGGTTTTATCAGAAAACATACATATTTATGCACAATATATGATTTAATTTTTAAAACTTTTTTTCCAGATTATTAATACTGGTTTTAGGAAATTAGCTCTCAAATTGGTTTAGAGATAAGAAAGAAAGACTGTATGTTCATTACAAGGGATTTTTTTTTTTTTTTTTTTTTTACATTCATTCTCTATATCTTGGTTAAAAGTAACTAAGTTTGGGGCTGGAGAGATGGCTCAGTGGTAAAGAGCACTTTTTATTCTTCTTGCAAAGGACCCAGGTTCAATTCCTAGCATCCACGTGGTAATGGAAACATCCACTACTCCATTCCACGGGCTCCAATGCCCTCTTCTGACCTCTGAGGACATCAAGCATGCGTATATGTACATATACACATGCAGGCCAGCCCTTACACAAAACAAAATGAATAAATCTATTTTAAAAAACTAGGATTGGAGGCAGTCTATGCCATTTGCATTATTAAAACACTATCTCTCCACAGGATCAGTAACCATTATAATCAAACTTTGAACCCTGCTTTTCTGTACTCTGTGCATATCAGCACACCCCATGGGTGGAATGACTTAAGCAAACTTTTTTTTTTTTAATTATAGAATTTCCAGAATGCCCTGTCTCTTTCCATATCTTGGAGTCGCCCTGAGGTGGTAACTCTTGGGCAGGATTAGGATGAGGTATCTCCTTGGGTCTGAGATTCTCTGTAGATCTTGCTCAGCTTATCAATTAATCAGTCTCACCTAATGGGCTCTGTGAAAAATGATCAAATCCATTACAATCAGAGGAGAAAGTGTCACTGTCCTTTCAAAGGAGGCACTTGTTCAAGACGGAGCATTCCCTGTCCCTGAGAGTGGTCACCCTCTCCGTGGGCAGTAGTCAGGAAACGCTGGCTGTGCATAACATGTGCTGAACTATTATGGCCAAACTGGGTTCTGTGAGAGATAGACCTGGATGATTAAACTGAGCTGATCAGAGATGAGCATCGGTAGAAAAAGGCAAGGCCAAAGTGAGTGGGCCAAGAAAGCCCAAGGCATCAGGTACCTTGCACCCTGCCCTTTATATGCCCTTGGCTTCCCCATTCAAGACACGGATATTCCCTGATTGAACCCAAATTTGAGTGCAATCAAAAAACAGAAAAACAAAACAAAACAAAATCATGAAAACATGGACTGTACATACCTCCTTTCTTTGTCCTATGGGGGGAAAAAGTGAGCATTAATTGACAGGACAGTATCCCACAGAGATGTGCACACATGATAACAGAGGGCATCCAGGCAACTGGTTTCTAGGAATGTGGGACTAGTTTGAAAATGGGCCAGAGATGGGGATCAAAAGTTCTGGCTACTAGCCCTGCTCTAAACCAGTCTGGCAACTGATAGCCTGGAACTACAGAGGGTCTAAGAGTTTGAAACTATTGCTTCATACAACTCCAGGAAATACAGTAACTTCAATGAAGGTAAAAACCAGTCCAGTGGGACCACCAGCCCATTCTTCTTTGTCTGTTTTTCTCCCCAGAGATCTTGGATCACAGTAGGGATCTGGAGAGCTGACAATTGACTTCAGTTTCCTATAACATGAAAGATCTGGGCTAGGTCTCCAATGCCCTTCTCATAACAACCTTGGATTCAATAATTCAAATTTTATTCCTCACTATTTGACAAATGCTGGCTGCCATGTGGTACAACTAAATTCCAGAGAGTACATGTCTGAGTCTGACCTTCTAGCCATTTTTCTCTTTTTAGGTTGGGCCACACTGAGAACTGTATTTAGAATGTGAGTAGGAACAACCAGGTTGAAGGTGCATATTTACCACTTAGTTACAATATGCATGGAAGCTGCGGTGCCCATTGGGTCACATTTGTCTTTTAAGAATGTCTACCCAAATGTAACATGTGTCATCATCATTCCTACCTGATTAAATGTGACTCTTTTAGAGACAGGTTAGGCTTTTTTCCCCTGTCTTTCACTTTGTAAACAGGATGCAAACAAAAATGTGTTTGTTTTTTTTTTTTTAATTTCAGCAGATGCTCAAGGATTTCTTACCTGAAGTCAAGGTTGCCGATAGTGCAAACTTCCCCCAATAGAATGCAATGCACATTTTAAGCTAATGCCTTTTATACCATCTTGCATCCAAAATTACTTGTTAGTTACAGTTAATCGTCAAATACAATTTTTTTTTGAGACATGGTTTTTTGTGTAGCCTTGGCTGAACTCAATTTGTAGACCAGGGTGGCTTCAAACTCAGAGATCCACCTTCCTCTGCCTCTTCTTCTGTTGGTTAGCTGGTTGGTTTTACAGAGAATGATGCTGAGAGAGTTCTCATGTACCCAAAGTGCGGGGATCACAGGAATGCACCACCGCTTCCAGCTATCCTCAAATGCTATTAAGAAGCATTTCAATCTTATCATTCACTCATTTTTGCCATTGAGAGGGCCTCAACATCAGAGCATCCAGGACATTTGGGCATATGGTTAAATGCAGGGTCTAGAATCCTGAGCTTACTGGGTCTTGGCTATGAAGTAAAAACTGCAGCAACTTCAAAAACATTGCCATGGCAAAGGAAGCATTCCCTTGGTTAGCTGCTTGGTTTTACAGAGAAGGATGCTTAGAGAGCTTCTCATGTGCCCAAAGTCAGGTGCCCAGAAAATAAGAGAGCTCAGATTTGAAACCTGGAACTTGACCAACTCCAAAACACCTGGCTCACAGCCACTGTGCTCTGGCTGCAACAGTTACTGAGAATAAATCTGGCCCTAGTCTGTGGCATGCACAGGTTCTCTTAAGATCACATGCGTGAGCAAGGGAAAGAAGGACAGCAACCTTTGCATGCAATAACTGGAGATGTGGTCGTGTGCAAGAGACCAAAGGTGGTCTCATGACACCAAGGCCTCATCTGTGGCACTGCTGCCCGAAGCTTAACCTCCTAATCTGTTTGTTTTGCTCCCTTTAGCTCCATCCCTTTCCATAAATACTTTTCAGAGAAAAGCACATTATATTCCGCTGCTCCTCACAGTATGGCTTTTCTGAAGAGCTATCCAGGGTCACCGGAAGGCTGACAGCCCACTTCCACTAGATCCCATTTGGCCCAGGGTAAGTTGCCAGAGAAAGCCAAAGGGCCAATGTCCTGGCCCCCAGAGGTGACAAAGTGGGTACCCCAAGCCCAAGGGCAGCTGGAATTTCTTCCTTCCCTTCATCTCCTATTCTCTTCCTGAAGCCAGGGACCCTGCCCTGCACAAAAACACACAAAGGAAGTCCCAGCCCACCAGAACTTACAGAGGTTTCCTGTCCTTCCTGCTCATGGAGTGGCAATGTCTGTAGATGGCTTTGACCAGCAGGACCAGCAGGGACCCCAGAAGACCCACAAGCATCATGGAGCCCACAGTGATGGTGAATGGCACATACCAGGCTGATGGGGAGTACATGTTTTTCCTGAGGATCTGGTAGGTAATCCTGGGCTTGAAGGACAGAAGAGGGGAGAGGGAGTGGGATGGAAGCATCTTTGACATTTAGCATTCCCAAGTGCACTACTCTTTGCTTCTGTTGTACAAATCTGACGTCTGTGATCCTGCAGACCCCGTGTCTTCCACCCATGGCTTATTTATCTTCTATCCATTAGATCAAAACCAAGAAATATTAGGGAACTGCAAATCAGCTCCTCACTTAAGTACGCTTTTTCCCTTCCTTGGAAACTCAAAAGTCCACTAGCTATTTCTCTGGTGCAACACAGCATAATCCAGGGACTAATTTAGCCCTTGTCTCTCACTGGGAAGGCAGGAGCCATGAAAGCTGTTTTCTTTTCTTTTTTTTTTTTAACACCTTGTAGGCTTTTCAGTGTTCACTCAATACAGCTGCCACTGCCAGATGAGTGGGCTGTGATCACAGCGAAACTTCAAGTTCAGAAATCTGCTTCCCAGAGTGGGAGACAGATAACAAACAAGTCATGGAGATTTCAGAATTGGAAATGTCACAGTGGGTTATGCTGTAAACCTCAGAGACTTGGCAATTTCTTCCTAAGGAGAGCCTGCCAGCTCTATCCATAGCAAAGGTCCTCAGTATTTGTTGTGGTTTGAGTATGAAACCCCCACAGGCTCAGTGGGTAAAGGAGCTTGCTGCCAAGTCTGATGACCTGGGTTTGAGTCCTAGAGCCCACTAAGTATAAGGAGAGCAGGACTCCTAACGCCATCACACACCAAATACATACCCACCTACATACACAGCCATAAAAATCTCAAAAGGAGAAGCTGGGGAGATGGATAGGCAGCTAAGAGCACTTAATGCTTTGAGGAGGACTCGGGTCTGGTTCCCAGCACCCACCTCAGGTGACTCATACAACCACCTGTGCCTGCAGTTCCATGGAACCCAATGCCCTCTTCTGGTCTCTGTGGGCATCTGCACATATGAGGTGCATGCAGACATGCAGGCATGTATACATAAGCATAAACACAGCATAAAGAAAGCTGTAACGGAGTAAATTCAAAGACAGGCCCTGACATGGGGAGCTGTTTGTTCCTCAAGCTGGTAGCACTATTTTATAGGGTCCTGGAAATTTTAGGAGGCAGGCCCTGGCTACTGGGTCACTGAGAGTGTGCCTCAAAAGGCATGCTTTCTGGCCCCTTCCAGCTTTCTGATTCTTGTAAGTGAGGTGAGGGCCTCCTCTACCACACACTCCTGCTGCTGGAATGTTTTGCCCCAGGGTACATGACAGAGCAAGCATGGTTGCAAACCTTCTAAAATTGTCAGCCAAAGTAAATCTTTCCTCCTTTCAAGTTCTCTGTCAGGTTGGTCACTGCTGTGCAAAAAGAAAGCCAACAAGGCTGCCTTTGTCTCTACTTAATTGGGGGTCCATTTTTCTTTTCTTTTCTTTCTTTGTTTCCTTCTTTTTCTTTGTTTGTTTGGGACAGGGTCTCTCTGTGTAGGGATGCCTCTATCTCTATTTATTGGGGTCCATTTTTCTTTTCATTTATTTATTTGTCCTTTTGGTTGGTTGGTTGTTTTTTTTTCAGGACAGGGTTTCTCTGTGTAACCCTGGCTGTCCTGGAACTTACTATGTAGACCAGGCTAGCCTCAAACTCAAGAGATTCACCTTCCTTCTACTTTCTGGGATTAAAGGTGCATGCTATCATAAGAGGAGGGGGATGTGGACGGAGGGAAAAGGAGAAGAGAAGGAAGAAAAGCAGTGGGGGGGCAGGGAGGGGATGGAGAAGGAAAGTACGCCCAGGGAGCCTTTTCTGCCCTGCTGTCTTCCCTCGCACTCTCTGCCCTGATGCTCTCCCTCCCTCTGAAATTTCAAAAACTATGAGATGAAAGAATGTTTCCAAATTTAAGTTGCCTATTCAGTTTTTTTCCCACAGCGATGCCATCTTTACCACGGTGGTCGGTGTTTGGTCTACCGCATGACCCCACACAGAACATTCTTCTTTACTGTGAGAGGCCAGTGGCTCTGTGTCTTTGTGGCTCTTACACACATTTTCATCTACTAAGCAATGGCCCTTCTAAACAAATGCCTCGACTTTTTATTTTATTATTTTATTTTATTTTCTGTCTTATGCTTCTGGGTCAAAGGGTTCCGTTGCTATCGGTGCTAAGGACTTCTGGCTGGAGATGACAGGTCCCCAGATCCTTACCCTGGGAGTTGTGGTGACGATCGTGGTTGGGTGAGGAATGACTTTCACACTCAGTGTCACCGTCCCCGTTTCAACAAGAGCCTTGGCGTTTGTTCTGCCAGAGAGCAAGTTGTCATCAGTAATGTAGACAAGCAGCCGGTAGTCCCTGACCATATCCAGGCTACCGTAGTCAAAGGGAGATGCCAGAAGCAGGCGTGTGACATTGGAGCCCGCGTTGGGAGAGAAGGCGAAATGATTGTTGATGTTGCCTAAATGAGAGTTGACCCAAGGATGTTGGTAAAAAATAAAAATAAAAAGAAGATAAAACAAAGATTTAGAAGGAAATTGCATTTGTTTTTATTCCCTCAAATGCCCACACTTTATTTTTTATGTAACAGGGTTGGGTCTGTGATGTCCTACAAGTGAGAACGGACTGGATAATGAACCATGGCACTGCTCTCTCAGGGCCACCAGGGGAAGGGTTGACTGGCCTGGTGCAGCTCCTGCTAGTTTAGCACCTAGCACTTATTTAATAGCAACATATGTAATGCTTACTGAGGCCAATGAGTGGGCAACATGCCCCTAGAGGGTGCCATACCCCTAACCATGGGCCAAGATCCCCATATGCCTTCTATGGAGCCTGTCTGGCCATGCTGGTGACAGGACCCACGAAGGCACATCCTGACATTGCAAGGCCCAGGGCCTTGTAAATTTACCCCACCTGCACGCACGCACCTACAGCTCTGTTGGGGCCCACAACATGAAGGTGCCTGGGGCAGGAAGAATGCCAGCCCAAGCATGGTTCTTGCTCATCTTCCAGTGTCTTCAGATTCATTACTGACTGAAAACCAGTAAATGGAGCAGATGATGCATTTTTTACTCCTTCAGCGGCAAAGTGCTCCGTTAAGCACTCAGGACTCTCTATGGCTTATTTCCATCCTGAGCGCTCCGGTCTCCAGGCGGTGTCTGCCCCTGGGCTCTGGTGCTCGGAGGCCTCCCACTGCTCTGCCAGGCTCAGCAGGCAGGCGGTGAAGATGGATTTTCAGTCTTTCCTGTGGAATTGTTCTGCTTGTTTGGGTTTAAATCTCTGGCCCCAGCACTTCATTAGATGAGCTATTTTTGTCTCATTTCCATTGAGGGGTGCTCCTTTTCCCCCCTCCTTCCCACAATGGCATATTTTTAAAGAGAGAAAAATGAATGGAGCCGAAGAGTATTGCTGAGGACATATTTCAAAATGCATTTAATCTATTTAATCTCTTCTTACCCTGAGAGAGGCCTGGGAGTTCCTTCCCTAGCGGCAATTTTCCCCCCAGAAACAGAGATAGTTGAGAAGATGAAATACATTTTTTTTTAAAAATTACACTCATTATATTCTGGGAATTTGGGGAGAGGAATATATTAATAGGATTCGTCCTTCCTGGAACCATGTGGTGGTGATCCTGGTTGTGGGAGGTTCAGGAGGACCAAGTGAGACAGAGACGCTGATGGAGTGCCGGGAAGCATCGCGTTCCTCAGCCCCCTTCTTCATGCAGAAGATGCCCACCCAGCCCCACACTGCGCCCACACCAGCATACGAGCAAAGACCCTCTGTCCCATTTCTCCCCGCATGGCCCAGACTGATACCAAGTACACTACCTGAGCCAATGGAGTATCGGAGAGATCTGGGGCTCGAATCAAGGTCAGTACATGTCAACTGGAAGTTCTGAATGTTTGTACCAACTTTAAGATCCACTGGGATGGCCATGAAGTAGGAATTGGGGGTGCATACTGGCTTTTCATCATTTTCTCCAATGATGTTCACAGTCACCTAGAACAGTAGGAAGGTGGTTGAAGACGTCATTGCATTTTATTCAGTGTGTGTGTGTGTGTGTATTGTGTGGGCAGAAGTCAGAGGACAACTTGTGGCTGGCAGTTCTTTCCTGTTCCCAAGTAGATCCCAATGATTGAACTAGTTTCCAGGTTTAGCAGCAATTGCCTTTTCCTTCTAAGCCGTTTCACCAGCCCAAGCCTTAAGAGCTAAAATGTGCCGAGCACTCACTGTGTGGGATATGCAATCTGCATGAACCCACTGATACAACCTCATGTGTGAGAGAGATCATGATAGCTCCCCTCTACAGATGAGAAAAAGGTAGCTGAGAGACAGCAAGTAATTGACCTAAAACCATGCAAACAGTGAGAGGCTGAGCAAATATTTCAGTGTACTTTTGTCTTTTGTCTTGCTCCAAATCCTTTGCCGTTAGCTTCTCTTCTGTGTGTATGTGTGTTTGTGTGTACATGTGGAATATGCAGATATACAAACATACACACATATGCACCCAGATGAAACCAAATTCCCTCCACAATGGCTATAGACATACGGAAATGCACATACTTACTTAAGCACCGTATTTGTGAACCTGAAGCTACCCTCTAACTTTGGTGTACATCACACTAGTTCTCAACCCTGTATCCATCTTCTTGGGCCCACTTGAAGTCTGTGGAGGGTGGGGCTCAGGCTGTTTCTGAATGGTCTTCAGCTGACTCTACTGTGCTGCCGGGCATAAGAAGGAAGGTGCTAGAGCAAGGTCCTGGATTTGCCAGGGTCTCATCCGCAACCCCGGGCTCTTAGAACTGCACTGAGCCCCAGATGACCAGCCACACGCAGGCCGACAGCTCTTTCATGGCTGTGTCTCAGGCCGACTGACTGGAATACCTGCTGACTCAGTCTCAGTCTTGGAAGGGACTTATGTGATCCTACTGACTCGTCACCCTTTTTAAAGCCTTATGAATTGAGTTGTATTCGTTCTACTTTTGAAATTTAGGGATTTCAGCTCTTTCTGAGACTGGGAATAAATTGAAATAGTCATTCTAGTTAGCTCCCTGAGTGGAGGCCATCCATTTCTCCCTGGAAAAGAAAGGAAAAGAAAGAAAAAAGAAAGAAAGAAAGAAAGAAAGAAAGAAAGAAAGAAAGAAAGAAAGAAAGAAAGAAAGAAAGAAGGAAGGAAAGAAAAGATAACATAACAGCCCAACAAAGGCTGCAATTATCTCCAGCTTTCCCTGGATAGGAATTCTGGACCTCATGAATCACTGAGGACATCATCCCATTAACTCAAAGCAGGTCACCAGAGGGACTGAACCATCCGGCGCTGGCTTACCATGTGACTTTCCACAGAAATAGGGTCACAGAGATAAACTTGCCCATACTCTCTCAGAAAATTGGGAGCATGACTAAGAAATGAATTCAGTCTCCTCACTGCAAGCCAGTTGCTGTCCCTACCACACAGGGCTGCCAGCTGCCAGCCAAGTCACTTCCCTTGAACCTTTTCACATTACTGATGGATCTTTATGGCCATCGTGTGGCCCTCAGAACATCCTAACACTCACCCCCCAGGCCCTCGTGGCATGTTTGTATGCAGTACGCGCAACCTTAGGAAGCATGTCTATTGTGGGATGGGAAGTCAGGTCCCACACACTTGCTCACTGAGAATCTGCATTCAACAAGGGCCTCAACATCTGAGAAACGATGCAGCAATAGGCCTCTGCAGTGGGTTTGGATATGGGTCCCTCAAGGGTTCATGTGCCAAAGGCTTGTGCCCAATCTGGTACTGCTATGGAGTGATAACTGTGGGAGGTAGGGCCCCGGAAGGAACTTTGTTTCACAAAGCGGTTTTGCTGCCTCAGCGGATATTCCAGTACCTTGCCATCAGTCTCACTACCGCTCTCAGTCACTCAGAAATGTGAGCCTCAAGTTAAGGGGCTACTTACTCTTCTCTTTACACTCCCATCCCGCTGTAGCCACATGCTAGGGGTGTGAGGGAGACCCCGAGTCAACCAGCTGGGTGACTGTGAAGACACCCAATATCCCCACTCACAGTGACTGAGCTCCGGTCCTCGCCATTGGTGGCCTCGACTGTGAGAATGTAGACGGAAGTGGTTTCGTGGTCGGCCTTAGTTACTAGCTGAAGTTCTCCTGTCTTGGGATTAATCCAAAATATGTTTGGGTACTGGAGGCTGGCCCCTCCTCCGGAGATGGAATACAGCACCTGACTCTGGGGGAAGTCCTCGTCAGTGGCTCGCACCTGCCCAACCCGGGTTCTAGCTGCAAGGATAGAGCACAGTGATTAGTACTGACCTGGGGGCGGGGGCATCCTCGCCGCCACTGACAAGACTGTGACAAGCTTCCTGGTTGTCAGAAGTCTGTACATTCTAGATATTAAATTTATGTATTAAATTGAAAGAATGCAAAGGAGCATGCCAACCCAAACTCAGCTTTCCGCAGCAACGATGTCTAAAAGTCTCTTACGCTTTTCACATTTCCTGTAACGAGCTATTGGGGCTGGAGAGATGGCTCCGAGGTCGAGAGCACCTCGTTCAGAGGACTCAGATTAGATTTTCTGCAGCTGCATGGTGGCTGGCAACAATCTCTGACTCCCTTCTGGGGAGATCTGGCCTCTGCAGGCTCACAGTGTGCTAACACACATGCAGGCAAAACATCCACACACATAAAATACAAACAAAGAAATCTCTAAGGGAAAAAGAACATAGCAATTGATGAGCAACGAGGGTAGACGGCTTAAGTTCTGCCACTTCTGCTTCTTTTAAGAGTATTGGTAGGGCTGCTGAGGTTCTGAGCTGCTTGTGCTGTAGAAGTTCTTTTATCGTTAGTTATAGTGCTGTGGGCCAGAGACCCTGTCAGTCAATTCTACAGCCTAACATGAAGTATGTGACCCAAAGACAATCACCAAAGTAGCGAGATCAGTGCATGTATGAAAAGCTTGGTCCTGTTGAACATGTAGAACACACTGGGCCAAGTGTAAGGCACTAAATGTGTCCCCTGGACCATCTTTGTGTGTTCTGTTTTGAAACATAATGTCATAAAATAGGGACTGCTGTAAGGAGAATAAAATGAACAGGAATAATTTTGTTGGTGCTCTGCTTTTGATTTGGCTCTATTTTTCATTATGGAAGAAATACCCATGATCTTAGGGTACATAAGTGGGGAGAATGTGTCATTTGACAGAATATGCTAGATAACATAGAAAGCTTACACTGATTACCTTCAAGTCAGGGGAAGAGAAACTGAAGCTGGGAGCAAGGGTGTGTGTGTGTGTGTGTGTGTGTGTGTGTGTGTGTGTGTCTGTGTGTGTCTGTGTGTGTCTGTGTGTGTCTGTGTGTGTCTGTGTGTTCTGACAGGGTCTCAGGTAGCCCACACTGACTTTGAACTTGCTATATAAGAGCAGATGGCCCTAAACTCGTGTTTCTTTTGCCTTCACCTCCCAAGTGCAAGGATTACAGATAGGTGCCACCATGCCAGTCAGGAGAATATTTTCTTGATGGGAGAATAGTTCATAAGAATCAGAGTATCAAATAACAGGAAAAAAAACCTTCTAGTGAACTAAAGAAGAGTGGGAAGATGTTCTTCTTTTGCCCTTAAGTAAAGAAACTTTCCCCTAGTTGATAAACTCAACTCTGAGTGAGCCAGTTAGAAATCACAGAAGAGACCAGGAAAAAAAACTTAAGTCTATAACACTGAGAAATGTAGGGTTAACAGACTCTGGCAGACAAGGAAGCATTGGGACATTCAGAGTAATGCATTTAATCAAGTTTCCAAAATCCATGCTTCACCTGGAGGTCTCTGCAGTAGCAAGAGCAATGGGCGGAGGAGCAATAAACCAATATGACAGGAGCCAGGTGGCCTCTGCAGAGCTTGAAGTCAGGTGAAGCCTGGCAAGAGCCTATGATCTGCGACCTGGCCCCAACCTACCTGGTCTTGTTTCTGACACATCAAACATGTAGGACGGCCTATCAAAGACAAGAGGAAATTCATTTTCCGGACTTGTTAGAATAGAAATGTAGATGCTATCTAAAAATGGAAACAGAAACAAACTGAAATCACAACCTGTACTCATTTGTTCAGTGAGCATTTTGAAAACACCTTGCGAGTGTGGGTTCTGGGACACAGGTAGAACTCTGCCTTCAAGATACTTAGTCATAGGCTCCCTGACATGGATAGGGGGCGGCGTGGAATGGGGACAGTATGGAATGGGGAATAGTGCGTCATGGGGATAGTGCCTAATCATGGACAATGAAGTATAGGGACAGTGCAGAAAGGAGCAGTAGTATGAAATGGGAGGAAGGGTTTTAGCCATGTGCAAACACATTACAGTATAAACCTCCTTGATTCCGTCAGGGCAGGCCCAAGTGACTCAGCACCGCTGAAGAAAAGGAAAGTTGGAGAGGAGGGGAGGAGGTACAGGTAGCGAGTTAGGCAGTGACCAGATCATGGAAGTGCTTGCGTGCCTAATCCACGGGTTTAAACATGAACTTGACAGGAGGTGATACATCGAGATTCATTTTTTTAAAAAGTCACGGACAGAAATGGTGACACTGTGTGGGAAGGGAGCAAGACTGGAGGCTGAGAGACCCTTAGAACACACAAGTGCCAAGAGGAAGTAGCTGTTGGGGCCGGATTGGCTTAACAGGGAGGCCCTGTGTCCAAAACCTAGAAGTACCTAGTACAGTTCAGTCACTGATGCCCAAGGGAGACGCCATATGAGGAACGTTAAAAGGATATACTTGCTTTTATAGTACGGAGGGGCAATGTCTTGCACCTGGATTATCACGCTGTACTTATTGCCAGCTGCAAGGTTGCTTGGATTTTCATAATTTAGATCGCCAGTCAACTAGGCCGAAACAGATATAATAGATTACACAGGATAAACAGTCCTATTATTGAACTGACATATCTGTTTTTATACAGTTAGTGCTTGTGCAAATTGCCAGCAACCTTTGAGAAAGCACTTGTAAGGGCACCTGAGGAGCTTTGAGATGATGGACAGATGGACGAACCAGCAGAGAAACATCTATTTCCAAAGATGTCTACGGGGCTAGCACTACCAACAAACAAGGTTCCCACACTGAAGTCAGTGGAAGAAAAGCCCAATTCTAAACTTTTTATACAGAACTAGTTCCACCATTTAACATGTGCTTATATAAATATATATAAATATATGCACATATTATGTGTATGTTTCTATATAAAACCACAGAAAAAAGAAATAAGAAAAATATATATACTAGAATGTCAACAGTGTTCACTCCTCTATGGTGATGCTATTCAGTTCTTCCTACATCTTAAATGGTGGCTATGAACTAAGAACCTAAGAAAAATATGAATTTCCCCAACAAAGAAATTAGTTGTTTTATGATACCATTAATCTCTGGGGGATTGAAGATGGCTTAGGATGGGAGGTAGAAAAGAGGCACACTGAGGAGAAAGGTGGTGGGCAGCTTGCTCTCATCCCCAAGGTCCACTGGAAGCACCCTCAAGACCCACCCGCTTGCGGAGTCCTTCCCTTTTGCTCTTTTCCCCACACCCTGCAGTGGGAACCTTGTGTGAAGAGAGGCCTCACCAGCTTGCTGCAGCCTGCCTTCCATGCCTGTCCATCCAATCTGCCTTTGCCCCTGTGCATAACCCCTCCTTCTGGAGGGTCTCTGGTGGCTCTGTGATGTGGAACCTATCAAGATGCCTTAGGCCCCGTTTTCTCTCCCTCGCACCTCATTTGAGGAGCAAGCACTCAAGTAACAGAAGAGCCTGTGTACCAGGGCCACTGCCATGTCTACAGTGGCTCACTAAGCCAAACGCAAACGCGAGCCACACGAAGTCCTGCGAGGCCCGGCACAGCACAGCTCTGTGTAATGAACGATGCTGAAGCCTGGGTGAAATAAAGAGCTGACAGGAACACACAGCCACTATTAAGTCTGTCAGTTACCGTGGCTCGGAGAGGAGGCTGCCTTGCAAATTTCTCTCTGCAGGGCAGCAAAAGCACCATGCATTTCAGACCAGCTTCCCCAGTGTCCTTTTAATGAGGCAATGACCATAAACTGACCACAATTCTCCCAGAGCCAGCTGGATGCTGTGAAAATCTGCGGCTGCTCCCGACTCCAGATGGCGTGCTGAAGTTGAATTTGTTGTTTGGAGCTTCGCTGTCATCATCAAAGCAGAACTTGCTTAAGTCCAAAAGCAACGTCCCGTTGGCTGCTCTTTCAGTCAACATAATGCTGGCAAAAAGGAATAATTCAATATTTCCCCCTAACAAATGGCGACTGAGTAGGCCTTCTAACCTAGACAGAGGCTAGATACCTCTACTTCATTTTCAATTCTACAGGTTCTTGGCTATCATGGTGTCTGCCTTTCTGGTCTCAACATCATGCTCTGGAGTCCTTTCTGTTTTTAAAACAGCTGCCAGAGGCCTCCTGTTAGTGTCAGGTCATGGCAGTCTGCGCCTGAGGCCTGCAAAGCTCCTCCTTTCAATCCTGACCCCAACTTTGGGCCTCAGGACTCTCCTTACCTGCTCCTGCTTTCTCTTTCTGACCTCAGCTCCTCCTTCTTTGTGCTCCTCCCACCACTCTGGCCTCCTTACCCAGGCCACCAAGGCTCTAGCCCAGGGGTCATTGTACCGCCTCTGGAATTCTCCCACGGATCTCCAGAGTGTTCCTCAGAGTCCCACACAGTGAAGGCTCAGTGCCTAGGGAGGTGCACTTGGAAGTGGTGGGCTCTCTAAAAGGTGGAGTCAACCCAGAGAAAGTCAGGTTCCCGGGGGCATGCCCTCAAAGTGGAGTGTGGGGCTCCAGACCCTTTCTCCATTTCTTTCCCTGCCCAGCCATGGGGGAAGTGGTTTTACCCCACTGTTGGCTCCCCCCATAATTTGCTGTCTTGCTACAGGCCTAATGCAATGGGGCCGACCAGTGACAGTCCTAAATCTCCAAAGCTATGAGCTGAAATAATCTTTCTCGGGTGTTTGTTATCGAGATGGGAAAGGGACTAACACACTCCTTTCATTTCCTTGAGCTCCTAACCTAATGTCACTTTTACAAAAAATATTAATGTTCCCTTCCCACTGTTTCCTCTATCGTTTGCCTCTTTATTTGAAATTCTTAGAACTTATCATTATCCAACATGCTACACAGTTACTGAGCCTGTGCATTGTCTGTTTCCACTTAGAATATACACTCATTGAGGACAGGGATCATCATCTGCTTTGTTCTTTACTCTGCCAGTAAATATTTGTGGAATGAGCGAATGGTAGCATATGAGAGCACAGTTGTGAAGAATACGAGAGAAATGGAAATTCCATGCTCAGACTGTTGGAAAACCCTGACCCTAATCCCACCCTCAGTATCCCAGCAACAGCAGTCATGGCACGATCGGCCACCAAAATTGAACAGATTTCCCCTGTCACCCCACGCGCATGGGCTATACCCTTTAAAAAGCCAGTGCCTTCTCTTTCCACCCTCTTTTTCCCCTTTCACCGTGGCTCAGAGGCAGCCTCTGTATCTCCCCCTCCCCACTAAATGAAATCTCTTTCATGAAATCTGTTGCGTGGTGTGATCTCTGCTGAGCCATTCTTGGCTTCAATCCACCATGCAGGAGTTTTAACTTGTTGAGAGAAGATCCCTTACCTCCTAGTCTTGGAAGATTAAAAACTCCTTGACTTTTGTTCTGGAGGCTAATTCCTGCATCTTAATGCTTCTATTAGACTGCTTGCTTCACACAGCTTCCTTCTGAGAAGACCCCCTGCAGCTGATGAGTGAGATGCAGGATATAGTTTCTGCCTTTTAGAACCCTGTGTTCTGGATACTTAGGGCTACGCCCAGGGCCATAAACACTTGGGTGTGATCCCAGCAAGCCTGAATGAAGTGTTTTAATTGGCTATACACTCTGTCTAAGCAGTTATCTCTGGTGAGCTCTCTGTAACACCATCAATTATACCTAGGCCATGGATGTTTGTGGATCTAAGTTTTGATTACAACACTGCAGAACTGGGGGAGTTCATCATCTGAAGAATTCAGGATCCTGGTGTCAGAGTCTGTTTGTCTGTCTTGCTGTCACCCCCCACCTCGGCCTGTTGCATACTAGGCAAGCTACATTAGTAGTTTTGACATGTTCTTTCATTTTTCTCTGCACTTGGTATTTTTTCCACAAACATTTTTCTTGGAAAGCCACACCTCCTCATTCATCTAAGGGGAGCCACTGTGCCCCCACTGCCCAGCAGCTTGCTGAGTCCGCCTCCTATTCACGGATAGCTTGCAAAGCACTTTCAGCTAAGTATTTGACAATTTACAACCTGAGCAGAGGCCATCTCACTGCCTTTGATGCCTCCACTGGAGCCCTGGGCTCATCATAAACCCGGGAAAGCCACAGGCCCTCCATGGAAAGATGTGGGAGCCTGTGAGGACCTGCCTCCTCCAGGCTGTCCTGCCCCACCTACCCACAGCTTCCGAGCCTCCAGCTATCCCCTAGCTGCTGTTAATGAATACTGGCACCCAGCCCACTCACTCCCCTGCCTGTCTGCAGGAACTTCAAAAGTCACATATTCTAGTATAAATGTCAGAGGCATGGCTGTCCTTTGTCTTATGGTTTTGTTTTGCTTTTGTGCTTGGCACTGTAATGGCTGAAATAAAGAAGGGATTCATGGTAGGACGGTGGATGTATGGCTAAGGCTTCTTAGTCCCACGGGTCTGCTATGTTCAGGAGCTGGGGAACATACAGGCTGAGCTCTTGAAGTGAAGATGTCCACTTTCCAGCTCAAAGAAACGAACCATTTCATGGACCCACCTCACCTCTAAGCCTGTGACAGCCAACTGGGAGTTACCCTCACTGGAAAAGTCCCAAGGTGATGACAGTATTGTTTAGAATTATCTTCAATGATGAATATAATCAGCACAGTTACTAAGTGTGAAGGACTTCAGGGCTAATTTGGAGGAGATCACTAACAGGACTCTCTGGGCTTGCCTGGAGGATCTACGACATTCAAAATGTGGTTTTAACCAGTATTACAGAACACAGTCTGCAAACTGTCCTACCCCCTCAGGGGGCTCTGGACCACAGGAAACCAGAATATTTAATGAACGGATATGAGAAAAAGAGAAAACAAGGAAAGGGGCTTGAGAGAGCACAGTCTGCTCCAGGCATTGATATCACTCAGTGCAGAGGAGCAAAGAAGAGCTGGAGGACATAGGGTAAAAAGAGAAGAGTTTTCCAGATGCACTGGGCCACTGCAGGGGGCTGGCATGGATGTAGCTTTTCAAGGGAAGTAGGTGACTCTGCAAAGCTCCATTCCATCTCTAGGATCCAGACTTCCTTCGGCAGAGTGTGGACTTAGTCTACGCATGTGCTGTTGTGGGAGTCCCATCCTAACTCTCTATGGCCCCATCCCTGCCCATCTAAGAGACTGAGCATCTGGAATGCTCAAGCAGGGAGAGTGGTCTACAACATGGTCCGGCCTGGGATGTGGTCAACCAGGGTCTCAACAGGAAGCAGATGGCAAATGAGGAGAATCCTAGGAGACTTAGCAAAGAAGTGATTACAAAGGGGTACTTGGGTGTATGTAGAAGTTTCAAGGGCTGGTACATCTCTCAGGTCTAATAAGAGTGGAGCATCCTTGCTACCCAGAGACAGGGAAGTACCAGTGGAAGGAGAGGTCCCTGAAATTGAAACGCCATGGTCAGGAGTGTTGTGTGCAGAGAGCTGCCTTACAGGAACTGAGCCCCTCAGAATGTGGAGAGGGCAGCACTGAAAGGGGGAGGTGATACCACCCCCAGCTTCACTCTTGGCCTCCCCCCCTTTTAGCTCTTCACTGGCCAGGAGACAATGGAATGCAAGGCAGGGAGTGGGCAGCCTTCTGGGGCTTAGGGCAAGGTGCACGGTCGATCTGAGATGTGTCCAGAACAGACTGCACGCCACCATGCTGAGCCGCTAGCACAGAACAGAGTGTCAAAGCTGTGAAAATGGAAAGCTCAATCGCTTTTGCTTACCCCATAGCCTTGGTCTAGGGCTCTTTGTCTTTTGCGGGGTCATGCAATGTATTCAATCTGTCCAGAATAACCTGGAGCAAATTTGAAAAGCCAGTCAAAGATACCCCAAGAAACTTTGCCTGTAGGGTCACTAAAAGAGTGGCCTGTTCTGATCTCCAACCTCACCTCGGATGCAGAGCACTCTGCCCACAAAGGTCATTTCTGGGATGCACCCCACCCCTGAGCTGGCCCCATTCAGAGTCCCAGAGACTGGTTAGCCTGAAAACCACAGAGATGAAGCTATTGTGGAAGAATTCCCAATTGCGTGGCTTTATGACAGAAGAGCAGAAAGAAAAGCTATGGGAGGTGGGGGAGACATTGTAACCCAGAATCAAAAAGGCCTTATGTGGCTGGAAGGAAGGTTCAGCGTTGAAGAGCACTTGCTGCTGTTTCAGGTACCTGGGCTCAGTTCCCACCACCTATGTGGAGGCACACAACTAACTGTTGGTAACTCCAGTTCCAGGGGATCTGATGCCCTCTCCTGACCTCTGCAGGGAACCGGCCATGCATGTAGTACACAAACATATATGCAGGCAGGACACTACCACACATAGGATAGACATAAGTAATTATTAAAGGACTATACGTTACAATTATGGTAATTAATTGTGAGTCAAAGAACAAGTGAGGATATATGGAATTGTCCCACATATGTCTGTGTTTCCCTTTCACTTTTATGCAACTAAGTTGTGTTAGGTGAACCAGATGTTTGGTTTTGTTTTACCCACCTACTTGGTTTATTCCCGTTATTTCCTGAGGCTTCTTTGGGAGCGCCTACTTACTAATCCTGATCTCCAGCATCTACGACAACTGCTAACACCCCTCCTTACCCCTGGCAGCAGTAAATAAAAAACAGACACAGTTCAGAGAGGGCCTGAGGTGCAGATGGAATGAAATTGAAAACAAAAAAAAAAAAACAAAAAAAAACAAAAAAAAAAACAAAAAACCTATAAATGTAGGCAGAACGTGGAAAAAAAAAGAGAAATAATGAAGAGGGAACAAAATGACAGAGTAAGGAAAAGGAATAACCTGAAGATCTTTAAACAAAAGGGGATACTTCAAATCTGCTTGTAGTCATTTTCCTGTATCGGGGACCTCAGGGGTCAAGAGCCACCCAAGAGGGAATACCTGTCAGCGCACGCCTACCTGAAGGTGAGCTGTCCACATGTTGCAGGGTTGTCATTGATGTCTTCCACAATGAAGCTTATTTGGATGCGGTTCTCCTGACCCCCAGAGGGTCTGTCTCTCACCAGAACTTCCAGGGGAATGACGGGGTTCTGTCTCAGTTCGCCTGCATCTCGATCTAGCCTTTGGGCCACTTGGATTGTCCCTGTCACTAAGAAGGCAAAGGTTAGAGGACAAATGGGAAACAAAGGCACAAGGAGCGTGGAGGACACAGGAAAAGACAGTTCTAGGATGAAGGCCAGCTTACCCTGGGAATAGCCTCTATGCAGACATGTCCTATACAATCATGTCCATTTCCAGCTTTGACACTTACTGTAGCACCTGACCTGATCCTTCTCTAAAGCCACATTTTAAACCCCAGAGTTGGGCCCCGGGTACAGCACTGTCCACAGCTGACAGACCTGTAGGGAGCTGACTTCAACTTTGCCCACTGGATTCTCTTATTGGAGAATCTGTTGCTAAGAAACACGCATCAGAGAGTGAGTGGGGATACAACCGGAGCTGCAGGTGAAAGCCCAGGACTTGAGCTGCTGAGATCCTTGGAGCAGTGCTGGCTCACACCCCTCCTCTGCCCTGACCACCAGAGACTTTCTGATGAGAGAAGCCTCCCTTCTCCTCCCCTCCTCTGCTCTCCTGTCTTCTCTTCCTTTCCCGGCTTGTGCTCAGCTAGATTGGCTTTTTTTTTTTTTGCTATTTAATTTATTTTTTTAAATTTTTATTTTTTATATTAATGCTTTCATTTTTATTACTTGGAACCACAGTCTTAGTTTATAAATACTCAAAAAAAAAAAAGGTGTGGGAATATAGTTCATAGGCAGGCAGAGTGTTTGCCTAGTATGGACAGGGCCCTGGGTTCAATCCCCAGCACTACTGTGTAGAATGTATTTGTGTGTATGTGTGTGTGTATGTGTGTGTGTGTGTGTGTGTGTGTGTGTGTGTGTGTGTGTGTGTGT